AATATACTCATCTAACGACCACCAATATCCTTTTCAAAACTATTTATATTGTACTGTATCTTCAAATACAAATTAATCCTAATATACAATAATTCAAGTGGTTGTTGGTGTTCAATTACAAGGTCCTTTCAATGTTCGATGTTATAAGGAATGTGTTGGTAGTATAAAACCAACATCTATTATAGAGATTTGTCTTCATTGTATATTGGAAGTGTGACAAAGTTAGGCAGGATCAATGAAGACTGGTGGTTTTATTTTTAAGTTACGTGGTGTTTTGGTTTATGCTGATTACTTTTTTGAGTTTAGTGGTTATTTACTGTACTTTGAACTAAGTTAGAGCGTATTCTTAAAAAGATAAGGTGGCTAGCTCTCATAGAGTGTGAGAATGAATTGAATTTAAGACCTCTTTTTTTTTTTTTTTTAAAAGGAGAATTTTTATTGCATGAATANAACTGTGACGATACTAGTGACCGTTAACCGCGAGTTACATGTCCCAACATTAACTAGACGAATGTGATATTTTCTCAAACGCAACCTAGACGTGATCTCGAGGAAGATGCAACAACCAAGTTAAGAATGGGCTCCCAAGGGNAATTACAAGAAGTAAAAGAATTAACATTCTAATTACAAAGAGTTGACTTTAATCCTTCAAAAGGACCAAAGCCATAAAACTATCAGTCACAGCCAGCTGCCCCAACCATCAGACTTCAGAAACAGTCCATGCACACAGACTGCCTGAAAACTACATCCAAATCTGGACATAAATTGTATTGTGTTCTTCTTCTGTACAACCTGCAATATCTGCTGCTGCTGAACACCTCAGCACAATCAAACAGCTAGCAACAAAAAACTCCTAGGTCTGCCAGGAAACCAGACCAGCTACCTGATACAATAGTCTGCCCCTTAACNCAGTCAAACACATTCCAATGGGCAGTGAGCTAAGTTTTCGAGCAAACTAAGCTTTCAAAACCCTGCCCCTAGCCGAGGTTAATAACCGTGTTCGTCCGTTCCCATTGCTCAGTTCTCCTTTGAAAAGGGTCATACTCCCTTGTCCCTAGGTGGGGACACCTCCTCTTAGTCCAATGGACTAGTCGAGCAAGAACATTCACTAAATTGAGGATACTACTCTNTCTCTGGCCACAAGCAATCACTCTCTTCAATTTGGGCAGTGGGCATCGTACTCTGGTTCTGCTACAGAAGCAATCTCTTAACTAGTGGCAATGTACCACTAACAANTCTCGTAGTGGGGGAGATGAGTCTTACTGAGGTTGCCTACATACTTCTGCGATTCCATTTTTGTCCTCCTTGGGTAAAAGGTCTATTTTACCACTTTTAATACGATAAGGATGTATTTCACCCTATTGCGATGTTATGCCTGAGACCGTTGTGCCTGGGGGTGTCGCACCTAGGAGCGTCGTAGATGAGTGTTGCGCCTAGGGACATCGCACCTGGGGCATCGTACCTTGGACATCGTGCATAACATTGTTATTTGTACCAATCTAGTTGAACGTTGTTGGACACCATTTCCATGTCAATTAGTTAGTCTAATTGTACGGTAATTATTGGACATATTATGTTATAAGTATGGGTCTCCAAACGGGTCATGGGTCATCCAATACATTTCATGAGGGCNCTGCTAAAATAATATGACCATAAAAGTTTCTAACCACCATCCCACCCTTAAAAAGACCACTACTTCCTTTAGAAGCACCATCTACATTCAGTTTTAACAAATCTCCAGGAGGTGGANCAATCAGTTGTCCCGCAAAAGGCAAAAATGGGATAGGAACCAATTTTTTTTTTTCACTAATTTTTAGAGTTTGAATTATTTATAATATAAAATATGACATATTTTAATAAGTCTATCTGACAGTCTCAAATATACTCATCCAACGACCACCAATATCCTTTTCAAAACTATTTATATTGTACTGTATCTTCAAATACAAATTAATCATAATATACAATAATTCAAGTGGTTGTTGGTGTTCAATTACAAGGTCCTTTCAATGTTCGATGTTATAAGGAATGTGTCGGTAGTATAAAACCAACATCTATTATAGAGATTTGTCTTCATTGTATATTGGAAGTGTGACAAAGTTAGGCGGGATCGATGAAGACTGGTGGTTTTATTTTTAAGTAACGTGGTGTTTTGGTTTATGCTGATTACTTTTTTGAGTTTAGTGGTTATTTACTGTACTTTGAACTGAGTTAGAGCGTATTCTTAAAAAGATAATGTGGCTAGCTCTCATAGAGTGTGAGAATGAATTGAATCTAAGACCTCTTTTTTTTTTTAAAAGGAGAATTTTTATTGCATGAATCAGAGAATTACAAGAAGTAAAAGAATTAACATTCTAATTACAAAGAGTTGACTTTAATCCTTCAAAAGGACCAAAGCCATAAAACTATCAGTCACAGCCAGCTGCCCCAACCATCAGACTTCAGAAACGGTCCATGCACACAGACTGCCTGAAAACTACATCCAAATCTGGACATAAATTGTATTGTGTTCTTCTTCTATACAACCTGCAATACCTGCTGCTGCTGAACACCTCAGCACAATCAAACAGCCAGCAACAAAAAACTCCTAGGTCTGCCAGGAAACCAGACCAGCTACCTGATACAATAGTCTGCCCCTTAAANATTTTCCTCATCCATACCACACATATTGCATCTAATAGCCAGATGGACACCCACACTCCTCACCCTATCATTAGAAGTCAATGCATTCCTCAGAATTTTCCAAGCACACAATTGGGCACTAGGGAAGATTTTCTGCCTCCAAATACTTTGTGCTAAACTACTATGAACACCTTTCATTCTAATTTGATGCCATGCAGNTCTCTGGCCACAAGCAATCACTCTCTTCAATTTGGGCAGTGGGCATCGTACTCTGGTCCTGCTACAGAAGCAATCTCTTAGCTAGTGGCAATGTACCACTAACAGNTACTCTGTGCTAAACTACTATGAACACCTTTCATTCTAATTTGATGCCATGCAAATTTCACAGAGAAATCACCTGAATTAGTATACCTCCAGATTCTCTTGTCAGGCAGATTAGACCATACCAAAATAGAACTACTAATCTCAAACTGTAATTGGGGAGTCAACCACTCAGAAACCTATTCTAATCTCCAACCATCAGTAAACCCTGACAAAAACCAAAAGGGTTCCCTCAATTCTAAGAAGCAAAGGACCAGGTTCCATCCAAGAGTCACACCAAAAATTAGCAGATTGACCATCTCCTCCTATTGTCNTAGCCAGATGGACACCCACACTCCTCACCCTATCATTAGAAGTCAATGCATTCCTCAGAATTTTCCAAGCACACAATTGGGCACTAGGGAAGATTTTCTGCCTCCAAATACTCTGTGCTAAACTACTATGAACACCTTTCATTCTAATTTGATGCCATGCAANACTGATGACCCTCCAATGCATTGCTCAAAATCAGCTTTAAGCCATCTAATAAAGCCATACACTCAGCCTGCATACTGGACCTTGGCCCATAAAAACTTCAGCTGCTAAAATAATATGACCATAAAAGTTTCTAACCACCATCCCACCCTTAAAAAGACGACTACTTCCTTTAGAAGCACCATCTACATTTAGTTTTAACAAATCTCCAGGAGGTGGTTCCCACTTAACCCATATCACCTTGGTGGCTACAGAATAAGGATAAACAATTCTCAAATTCGGTAACAATTCCTTACCCCTACAATCATCACCTCTTCCAGGTTTTACTAAAAAGGATTGCCACCTCAAAGCACTCACCACTTGCAAAAAAATGGCATAAGCATTCAAGTAGATCCCCTCATATCTCCTTCTACATATCTCTTTCCATATGGCCCCAAAAATTAACATAGAAACCCCTCTAATCAAGCAATGACTCAGAGACTGATTTTTGAATTTCCTCATCAATCTCAAAAACCTGCACATAGGAGACTCCTCTGATATGATTTCAAAACCCATAACAGCAGCTATCCTTCTCCACACATCATGAGCTAGAGAACAATTAATGAACAAGTGATGAATATTTTCCTCATCCATACCACACATATTGCATCTAATAGCCAGATGGACACCCACACTCCTCACCCTATCATTAGAAGTCAATGCATTCCTCAGAATTTTCCAAGCACACAATTGGGCACTAGGGAAGATTTTCTGCCTCCAAATACTCTGTGCTAAACTACTATGAACACCTTTCATTCTAATTTGATGCCATGCAAATTTCACAGAGAAATCACCTGAATTAGTATACCTCCAGATTCTCTTGTCAGGCAGATTAGACCATACCAAAATAGAACTACTAATCTCAAACTGTAATTGGGGAGTCAACCACTCAGAAACCTATTCTAATCTCCAACCATCAGTACTCCATAGCTCTTTAACCCTGGCAAAAACCAAAAGGGTTCCCTCAATTCTAAGAAGCAAAGGACAAGGTTCCATCCAAGAGTCACACCAAAAATCAGCAGATTGACCATCTCCTCCTATTGTTCAGCTTGCTTGACTAAACAAAATTAGCAATTAAAGAATTCAATTTCTTCAAAATCCATTTAGGAATGTTCATACATGCTAACATGTGAAGAGGGATAAAATTAAGCACCGACTGTATCAGCACAACTCTACCCATACCAGACATCATCTTTGCATGTCAACCCTTAATTCTTCCCCTGAACACCCTCACTACCTCCTGAAAATGACATTTTCTGNTTTGATGCCATGCAAATTTCACAGAGAAATCACCTGAATTAGTATACCTCCAGATTCTCTTGTCAGGCAGATTAGACCATACCAAAATAGAACTACTAATCTCAAACTGTAATTGGGGAGTCAACCACTCAGAAACCTATTCTAATCTCCAACCATCAGTACTCCATAGCTCTTTAACCCTGGCAAAAACCAAAAGGGTTCCCTCAATTCTAAGAAGCAAAGGACAAGGTTCCATCCAAGAGTCACACCAAAAATCAGCAGATTGACCATCTCCTCCTATTGTTCAGCTTGCTTGACTAAACAAAATTAGCAATTAAAGAATTCAATTTCTTCAAAATCCATTTAGGAATGTTCATACATGCTAACATGTGAAGAGGGATAAAATTAAGCACTGACTGTATCAGCACAACTCTACCCATACTAGACATCATCTTTGCATGTCAACCCTTAATTCTTCCCCTGAACACCCTCACTACCTCCTGAAAATGACATTTTCTAACCCTGCCTCTGATAATTGGACATCCTAGATATGTGAAAGGACAATTCTTAATAGGAATTCCCACCAGAGAAGCCAGCACATTTCTTCTGGCAATTGGATGCCTTTTAGAGCAATACATAGCACTCTTCAACTTATTGACCTGCTGACCAGAGCAAGACTCATACAACTCGATAAACTTCATCACATTCAATACATATCTCTTAGTTCCTCTGAGAAATACCAAAGTATCATCAGCAAATAACAGGTGACTCACCAATGATGTGTCTCTACCCATATGAAAATGAGAGACCAATCTCTGCTGATAAATGCTCCTTAGACCCTTACTTAGAACCTCCTAAGCTATAATGAACAAAGTAGGAGAGAGGGGGTCCCTCTGCCTTAATCCCCTAGAGTTTGCAAAATACCCATATCTCTGTCCATTTAGACAAATAGAAAAGAATTGGCTATTCAAACAATTCAAAATGATTTGAGTGAACAGATCTAAGAAGCCAAAAGTACTCAACACTTTAAAGAGAAAATCCCACTCAAGCCGGCCTTCATCATGTCTAATTTCAACTTCAGGTTTCCACCCTCCACCTTCCTATCTAGCTCCCCTACCAATAACTGACCAAGGCCACACAATCACCAATACCTCTCGTTGGCGCAAAGCCATGTTGTTCCTCAGACACCAACACAGGACAAACTCAAGATTACCAAAGGACAAACTCAACTACTGAAACACGCCGAATAATTTTGTAAATGTATGGTGGTTGATTTCTCATAGAATGCTTATTTAATTCTTTATCCGCCTTGCTTTTCCTTGGTGTGTCTATTATCATTAGGGTGCCAAAATATGACATATATGACACGAAATTATAGAATTTAAATATTTCTTAATTCATCCGTTTTATAAACNCCTAGAGTTTGCAAAATACCCATATCTCTGTCCATTTAGACAAATAGAAAAGAATTGACTATTCAAACAATTCAAAATGATTTGAGTGAACAGATCTGAGAAGCCAAAAGTACTCAACACTTTCAAGAGAAAATCCCACTCAAGCCGGCCTTCATCATGTCTAATTTCAACTTCAGGTTTCCAGCCTCCACCTTCCTATCTAGCTCCCCTACCAATAACTGACCAAGGCCACACAATCACCAATACCTCTCGTTGGCGCAAAGCCATGTTGTTCCTCAGACACCAACACAGGACAAACTCAAGATTACCGAAGGACAAACTCAACTACTGAAACACGCTGAATAATTTTGTAAATGTATGGTGGTTGATTTCTCATAGAATGCTTATTTAATTCTTTATCCGCCTTGTTTTTCCTTGGTGTGTCTATTATCATTAGGGTGCCAAAATATGACATATATGACACGAAATTATAGAATTTAGATATTTCTTAATTCATCCGTTTTATAAACGTGTAGATCCAACCAGACACAATTAATAATAAATGAATTGAATATAAGTGAAGCCAATAAAAAAAATAAATGAGTAAAAAATTTAATAAATATAATTTAAACAGGGATCCTTTCACCCGAGTTTTACTCACCCTTGCTTGGGGGATCCTCTACAAGACTATAGAGATGTTGTTTAGCGAAACAACAGTTGTTGTGCACGACAATGATGTCGTTGTAGTGCTATTCTGTGTGTGAAAACAACGTTGTGTCAATTTCCTTCTTGGCTCAATTTGTATCAACATACCCATTTTAATTTTGAAAACAAATTATGGTCCATACAGCTTTTCTGAAATACAGCTGTCAATGGGCCCTACTCCTCCATAATCCACTAATATATAGATGTTGTTATCTTCATTGTCTGGACATTGGTTATCTCCTACCAATCTCCTAAGTTTTATTTTAGGGTAAATTTTACTTACACACTTTTTATATTTAAGTTATATTTTATTGACACTCTCTTTAATTTTTAAAATATCACTTTATACCTCTTTCAGTTTTTATTGGTTAACAAACTTAAAAGAAAATGTGATTTTACATATTTACCCTTACTAAAACACCCAATTTACTAGGGTGGAATTTACCCTTATATTTTTATTTTGTTTTAAGTTTTATCCCATGTTATGACCTAACTTAATCATGTTCAATTTTGTCTAATTAATATTTAATTTTATGAAATTAATACCAAATTAATATTCAATTTCATCAAATTATCACTAAATTAACCATAAATTTTATCAAATTAGTTCTCACTTCGTCCCATTAGCATTCAATGTTTTTAAATTAGTACTAAATTAATATTCAATTTCATAAAATTAACACCATTCAATTTTATCAAAAAGACATTAAACTTCATCAAATTTACTATCAAATTAATATTCAATTCGATCTAACTAACACCAAATTAGCTATCAATTTAACATTCACTTTTATCAAGTCAACATAAAATTTCATCAAATTAATACAAAATTTTACCAAATTAAAGTGAAATTGATTTTAATTACTTTTTTATTTCAACAAATTAACATTCAATTGATATTTAATTTTATAAAATTAACACTAAATTAATATTCAATTTTATCAAATTAACTCCAGATTAACATTTAATTTATCAAATTAATATTATTTTTTGATTGAATTTCAAACTTACATTCAATTTTATCAAATCAATATGAAATAATCATTCAATTTTATAAAATTAACATTCAATTTTATGAATTTAATATTTAGTTTTATTAAACTAATATTATTTTTTTAAATTAACACTAAACTAATATTTTTTTTAATTCAAAAAAAATTGATAGGAAAACATTATATTTAATCCAGCTAGCATTTAAATTAATACTAAATGGATGTTGCCTATTGCTTTAAGTTTGTTTTAAATGACTAATAATAAGCTTGATGATTCATAAGAGGATAAATCATCACATCACCAATTTTTTTGCTTGTCAATATCGAGACAGATGACAGATGACAGATGACAGGAGTAATTCATGAAACGCTTATATAAACTACAGTAAAGTGTAATGATATTTCATAAATAAAAGAAAATATTAATTAAATATGACTTAAATTCAGAAATTTCAGTGAAATTTATCATTTATTTTATGACATGGAGTTAAGCTTTTCCACTGATGTCAATTAATAGAGGTGTGGGCCCTACAGCAACTATCTCTATCTATACGGCTACGGATAGCTATTAGTACAGACAAGAAGTTGATAAGTGCAGTACCAAGGCTAATCGGCATGACATGTGCTTCTGTTTATTTTAGCATTAATTATACCTTTTACCTTAAAACTTCCGTCAATTTGAATTTTGATCCTTATTTTTTGCTTAAATGCAACATATTTTTTCTGTTAATTACACATTTGATTCTTGAACTTTTTACAAGTTTTTTTTTTCCCATTTCAATAAGTTTTTTAATATACTTGACAAAAATACATATACTGTCTCACAAAAAATGATGTTTGTGTTGCATATTGAATGTATCCTCGTAAATAATTCAATTATTAAAATGTATTGAACTAAGTGAAAAGATAGAGAAAAAATTTAATACAAAAATTTTTGTTTAAAAATGCTGTTTTAAAACAAAATTCCATTAGCAAAAGAATAATTTAGTAAAAAAAAAAGTAAATGGATTATTTTTTTTTGTAAAAGTATTTTGGTCTTAGTTTATAGTTTTTTTCTTTGGTTCAACTGTCAGTGGTATTTAGGCCAACTTACGCGTATCTCGATTAATCTTATTATTTGTCTCGTTAAAGGCAAGTCATCAATGTTGAAATTAGAGAATTCATAAGTTATAAATCTCTCATAAAATGCCCTAAAAGATTGTTAAAATTTGGACTCAAGATATTTAAATTTACAGTTCATTTATTTTACCACTTAAAAATGGTCCATTTAGTTAAGAAAAAAAGAATGATGAAAAGTGAAAATGATAGAAAATGAAGTGAAAGAAAAGAAAATGATAGAAAATATATTTTCATGCATGGATTTGATTAGGATGTAAAAATTGCAAGAAAGTTTTACAAAAATTTCATTCAATTGTTTGAAAAAAGTAAAATTACAAATTTTTTTTTAATTGTCTAAATTATCCTTAATTATATTAAATCGGTCTAAAGAAGAAAAAAATGTATTATAATTGAAAATTAAAATTTTTTAAAAAAAGTGGCTTGTAATCTAATTCTATAACAAACACCAGCATAAAAGTCTCNGTTGCTCCATTGTCAATTGTCCCTTTACTACATTATTAACATATTTTCTATTTCCTATTCGATGCTAGGTATCTGGATTCTTGCAAGAGGCATGAGGTGCTGCCCAACTCTGCGGTATCTTCATGGTTCTATAAGGTCTCAACCCGAGTTTAGCTTCTATTCATACATGCTAAAATTGNAAAATTAAAATTTTTTAAAAAAAGTGGCTTGTAATCTAATTCTATAACAAACACCAGCATAAAAGTCTCTAGATCAAATTATATAGTTAATGAAATTTATACCAATATTTTTTAAAATTAATAACTAATAAAATATTTTATAAAAAAATAAGGGTAAAATATAAAGTCAAATATATATCACAATTTTCTTGTAGTTCATTATATTTTTTACAAGAAAAAAAATTGGTTAGTTATAAAAAAATTCAAGAATGAAAGAAATTTATTTTTTCTATCATTTTTTATTTTATGNCTTAAAGGCATAAGATGGTCTCGGCATCAAACGATTTACAAAATATAGAACTAATCGCAGCAGTATACTATGAGGTCAGGTGAAGTCGAAGAAATCATTGGGTAGTCTGGTAGTTGTGACAAAGACCAAGGACGCCAGCTCTATAGGGAACCCTCGGTCAGGTTTATGGTTTACGAATGTTTTGAAAAAGGTATAGCCCCATCCAAGACTAACATAGTACATTAACCAACTGTTCTACCACAGTTGTATAATTTGATCCTTAAAGGCTAAAGCTCGTCTGGATGTACGAGTCTTGAGTAATGTCTGCTGGTCAACAATTTTAGATATTATTGCTCGGTTTGGAGAGACAAAAAAATAGAATAATGTAAAGTTAGAGGATAAATAAAATATTATGTTTAGTAGGAAAAGAAAATAGGAATGATGGAAAAGTGGATGAATGAACTTTTTTTCTAACTCACCAAAATTAATTCCTTTNTCTCTCTCTCTCTCTCTCTCTCTGTATTTGTGATGCGGTAATCTGCAATTCTCTAGTTTCTTATTTTGTTAGGCTCTCTGTTTTTTACTAATTCATGAAATGTCTTGATTGAGCAAGAGGAGTTTGCTTTACTAATGTTGGTCTCAATCAGAAAGAACTTATACATGTGCTCTGTTTTCTTTTTTTACACTCCTTTTGTTTTGTCTCTAAATTCATGGAAATTGGTCCAAAAATGAAATCTGGCTTGCATATGAAAGTAATAAACTCGTTGCTATTTTTTCTTTTCTGTTTTGGGAGACCGGATGAACATATTAGC